AGTACAAGCAGAGTGACTTTTATGTCTGGCTCTGATCCGACAGTGGGGATTTGATCTTCAAGAATGGGGGGAAGGTGATTCTTATCCTACTACTTCAAGGATGCTTGGGATATTAAAAAGCCAAGTAAAACCCTCTTAAAACCCATTTCCCTTCCAGCCTACTCTCTTTTCCCCTTGTATCAAACAGCCTAAGACCTTTTCTCTAAAATGTACTGCCAGTCCCTGCTCCGCTGCAGGAGGGAAGGTGGGTAGGTAGAGGCTGTCCACGTGATTAACGCTGCTGTCATACCAGCAAAGGCACCTTCCCTTGATATGAGATGTACCTCTCTGGAAATTAATGCAATGAATGGAGTTTTATCTCCAAAGTGTCAGCCTTCCCAACCCTTGAAACCAGCGGGCTGAAATGAGGTGCTGCCTATTTTGCCTGTTCCTAAGGGGACAGAGCTCTTGGCCCCACAGCAGTCACAGCTGTTTTATGGATGTCCATGGCTGTGCTGAAATGTGCCTGCCTGAAAGGGCTTTGTTCCTCTGGTCTAACAGACTCAAAGCATCCACAGATGAGGGAACCATTGGCAAGAAGACAGAAATCTCATCACCGCCCCCCCCCCCCCCCCCCCCCCCCCCCCATATTGCAGGTAACGGTTTGCTGAGAAGGGGCATAGCACTTGTTGAACTCAAAGGTGAATCTGGGTAAGTTCAAGAAGTAAGTTGGGCTTTCAACTGTTCACAGTTGCTATATTTAGAATTGCCAACAGTGGTGTTACACTGAAATTTTCATCTCTACCGTTGTTGCAGTTTGATTTCCAAAATATTTGACAAGCAATTTCGGCTATCTTGGTCAGTGCAGCCTCTGCTGTGTGGTTTGGAGGTCATGTGAAACAACCGTTTACTATGTTTAGACATGAGCCCAAGATGAAAAGAACATATTTAACACTCTGACGCAGATATCCCTGTAGTGTGGGAGCTTCAGCCACCTCCTACACAGTCTTCAGTGGATGGCTCAGTAGGTGGGAACTCAAACAGTGATGCCCCTCACTCTGTAAGCAAATATGAAGTTTGTGTCAACCTGAGGAACCTGAGCATCCATAAGTCTGTTGGTCCCAACGAGATGCATCCCGGAGTCCTAACAGAACTGGCTGACACAGTCAGCAAGCCACTCTTGATGATATCAAGAGTCAGGTGAAGTCGCTGGTGACTGGAAAAAAGGCAATGTCACACCCATTTTTAAGAAGAGTGGAAAGGATGACCTAGGGAACTACCAACCTGTCAGCCTCATCTCTGTGCAGGGGAAGATCATGGAGCAGATCGTCGTGGCAGCTGTGCTAAGGTACATGGAAGAGAGGAAGGTAATATGGGACAACCAGCATGGGTACACCAAGAGCAGGTCCTGCTTGACCAACTTGGTTGCTTTTTATGATGTCAGAACTGCATCACTGGACAAGGGTAGAGCCACTGGTGTCATCTATCTGAACTTCAGCAAGGCCTTTCACATGGTCCCCCATAACATCCTTTAATCCATATCAGAAAGATATGGATTTCATGGGTGGACTACTTGATGGACAAGGAACTGACTGTGAGATCGTACCCAGAGAGTGGTGATCAATGGCTCGATATCTAGCTGGAGATCAGTGATGAGTGGTATCCCTGAGCGGCCAGTACTGGAACTGCTGCTCTTCAATACCTTAATGAATGACATCAGCACTGGGATCCAGTGCACCCTTAGCAAGTTTGCAGATGGCATCACGCTGAGTGGTGCATTTGACATCCCTGAGAGTGGACACCATCCCGAGGGACCTAGACAGGTTTGAGCAGCGAGCCCAGGTGAAACTCAGGAGGTTCAACAAATCAAAGTGCAAGGTTTTGCACCTGGGTCATGGCAACCCTCACTATCAGTATATCCCCCACAAACTGGAGGATGTAAGGATGGAGCACAGCCCTGCCAGAAAGGACCTGGGAGTACTGTTAGATGGCAAGCTGGGCGTGAGCCAGCATTGTGCTCTCGCAACAAAGAAAGCCAACTGTATCCTGAGCTACATCCAAAGAAGCATCGCCAGCAGGTTGAGGGAGGTGATCCTGCCTCTCTACTCTGTGCTGGTGAGGCCTCACCTGGAGTACTGCATCCAGATACGGAGTCTTCAATACAAGACAGATATGGACTTGTCAGAGTGTGTCCAGACGAGAGCCACAAAAATGATCCAAGGGATGAAACACCTCCCATGTGAGGACAGGCTGAGAGAGCTGGGGCTGTTCATCCTGGAAATGAGAAGGCTCTGAGGAGACCTGAGAGTGGCCTTTCAGTATCTAAAATGGAAGCTATAAGAAAGAAGGGGACAGACTCCTCGGCAGGGTCTGTGGTGACAGGACAAGGCGAAATGGTTTCAAAAAAAAGAGGAGAGATTTAGACTGGATATAAGGAAGAATTTTTTAGAATAAGGGTGGTGAGGCACTGAATTGCCCAGAGAGGCAGTGGATGCCCCATCCCTGGAGATATTCTAGGCCAGGCTGGATGGGGCTCTGAGCAACCCCATGTAGCTGTAGGTGTCCCTGTTCATTGCAGAGGAGTTGGACTAGATGACCTTTGATGGTCCCTTCCAACTCAAACAATTTTATGATTTTATTCTCTATACAACACTAGTCATGGCAGTGTATCATCAACTGGAAGACTACACACAAGGACTCTTTTGTGATAGGACCAGTAAGATGTGTTTAAAAAAACTCCTATAGATATCTGCGTTCCATGGGTTGCAGCTCTCTGAATTATGCGGAGGTAGATAAGAGTGTGAAGCTTAGATCTCAGGATTGTAATATCTTTGATACTTCAGGTGGCAATAACTGCTCAAGGTCAAATACTCTCTATCCTCTTTTTCTTATTTTCTGTTCTTTCTTTTTTTCTTTTCTTTTCTTTTCTTTTCTTTTCTTTTCTTTTCTTTTCTTTTCTTTTCTTTTCTTT